TAAGCAACATGTGGTCTGTTGGTCTTTCTCTGCACAGTCCTGCTTCAGACAAAAATTTCCTAACACAAACCAGAAATACAATTTAGGTGTCCACAAAAAACACTTTGAGTTGCAAATCTAATTTCCTGGATATAGTGGATTAATATGGAGAGAGTCTAAATTATTTAAAAGTGAAGAGAAACTTACTTCTCCCCATGTTTTCTGGTGGTCTCTGGAAGGTCACTGGATGACAATTCCCTGTTAAAACACAGCACATACACACAGTAAGATTCACAGTCACTACATCAAGTAAATTCCATTGAAGCTGATGAGGTCAACATGAGCATTTCATTTCAGTACATTCCAATCTTGTACCCTTACATAAATGTTTTATCTATCACAAACAGATATCCATCTCAGAGGACAGAAATATAGTATTCTGGAAGCTTGAGCTCTATATAAACTTACTATGATCTTGTTTGCTTGGCATTAGTTCTGCCCTTGCCAAATAAAAGTCATCAAATTGGCCACATGCTTATCTCTTAGGAGAAGGCAGTGATAGCAATAAAAAATGGTGGAAAAAATTGCCAAAAGGCCCAATTTTAATAACTGGGCTAGCATGTTATTAGTTTGCCCATCCCTGGCTTCTCTTCAATGTCATTCTGTGACAAATCCAATACCCTTTACAGTGTAACATTTTCCTGAATGGTGTCAAATATCAGTAACCCTAATCAAATTATCCCTGAGGCAAAGCAGCTCACAGAGTTATTACCAATAAACGTTATGAATCAATAACCATAAACTACTGACAACAGAAACTTTGGAGGAAAAAAAACACATATTGCAAATGCAGGTATGCATGGAGGAGCAGCAACTGTTTTTAAAAAGATGAAAATACATACACAGAAGCTAATTCATTCTATAATGCTTCATTTTCTTACAGGTTTCAATCATAGAATCACCACATATTTACTGTTCGGCGGCCACATTCTCAATATGGAGTTAAGTACCAGAAAGGCAAAATTATAAGACATAATCTATCAATGCATTAAGGAACGTATAACCTACTTAAAGCTAAGCATATAGGGGAGAGTGATGTCATCAAGATGCCTATATAGATCATTCGTGACTTGAGTCCCTCCTACAGGAAGACCAACTAGCAACTATCCATAGAAAAGACACCATAGAAAAGAAGATCCCACACTAGAAGGATAAGAGGACTACATATATACACTGGCTACATTGCCCCTCCCCACACCGGCACTGTGCTGCACCTATGGGAGACCTAAGGTAGATATCCAGTTCCCTCAGCATGTGGGACCCTTCCCAGGAGGTCCACTCAGGTCGTGCCTCATGGAGGCCACTAGAGGAATCTGCAGGTCTCTGGATAGAGATGGAGTGGGTAGGGCTTACAGCAAACAGTGCTCAGTACTTGGTGGATGGTTTTCCTGCTTGTAGTAGTGCCTGAGCAGAGATCCTAGCCATCTGTGGAGCTGAGCTAGTGGCTCCCTCTGGCTAGGGAGCTCCGTTGGCAGTTCTGCCTGATTTGGATCACTAGTGAGTGGGCCAGATGGCCAGTGGAGCCACTAGACCAGAAAGAGAAGCAAATTCCCAGCTCTGCCCAAGTGCTGAGCATAGCCTCAAGTCCCACCAACCCAGGAGGCCCAGCCAGAGATCTAGAGCAGCCATGGAGCCCCACTCAATATCACTGCTTGGTCAGAGAGCCAAGCTAGCAGCCCTGCCCAACTGTTGAGCATAGCTTCTGGCCCAGCATGACCAAAGAGTCTGAACAGTGACCCTGGGCAACATAGGAGCCCAGCCTATGATACTAGGAGTAACAGCTCTGCCTACAATCCCAACCAGCCATAGAGACCAGCCTATAATCCTAATAAGCAGAGGAAGTCAGCCTATGACCCTGCCCAATTGCAGAACACAGCCTACACTACAGCCTTGCCCAGGCAGGAAGCTCAGCCAGTAACCCCGCCCAATCAAGGAATATAGCCTATGGCCCCACATGACAAGGGAGCCCAGCCACCGATCTTGCCAACCAGCTGAGTATAGCTAATGCATTAGGTGATCACAAAGACCAGTATGCAGCCCTGCTCAACTTCAGGGCACAGTCTGTTGCCCTGCCTGATCCAGAAAGACAGCCTGATGTCATATCAGACTACTAAACCCTGCCTGTAGCCAGACCTAAACGCAGAGTCCAGACAGTGGCACCAGCTGGTTATGGACCCCATGCAACCATGGGCAATTGCAGAGCACAGCCTGTAGCCCTGTCAAATCATGGATTTCAACCAGTGGTATCATCCTGCCAGGGAATACAGCCTGGGACTTTACCCAACCAGCGGTAATTGCGGAGCTCAGCTAGTGGCCCCATCTGACTTACAGAGCACAATCAATAGCCCCATCTGAACAAGAATATGGTTGCCCAGTGGTCCTGTTTGAACAGAAAATCCAGCCAACAGGCCCATCTAACTGTGGAGCCTAGCCAGAGGCATCCCCCTAACCTCAGAGCATGGGCAGTGGCCTTGCCCAACTACAGACCCCAATAACAAGCCCTGCCTTCCCACAGAGGCTGCCAAATGCCAAATTTCTAGGACCCACAACTTGTAGTGACTGCTGAAAGTCTTTCCCTGCTGAAGTGAACATGTAAAGTCTGGACAGGAGGCCACTCAAACAAATGCACAGATATCGATGCAAGGAATCAAGGATCACAAAGAGACAGGGAAACATAACACCACCAAAGGAAACTAATAAAGTTCCAATAACTGACCCTAAAGAATGGAGATCTATCAACTATCTGAAAAGGAATTCAAAATAAATCTCTTAAAGAACTTCAGTGAACTACAGAAACACAAACAACTAACGAAATTAGGAAAACAATGTATGAACAAAATGAGAAGTTCAACAAAGAAATAGAAACCATCAAAAACAAAAGCAACAGAAATCTTAGAGCTGAAGAATACAATAATTGAAGAGTTTGATAGAACAAAATGGCAATACTATGTGCTTACCTATTAATAATTGCTTTAAACATAAATGGATTAAATTCTCTAATCAAAAGGAACAGAATGGCTGAATGGATAATAAAATAAGATCCCAACGATATAGTGCCTATAAGAGACTCACTTTAGCTTTAAGGATACATATAAAATGAAGTAAAGGGATAGAAACAGTCCAAGCAAATAGTAACCAAAATTAAAAAAAAAAAAAAAAAAAAACAGAGATAGTGATACTTATATCAAACAAAACAGACTTTAAGCTAGAAATGGTCACAAGAGACAAAGAAAGTCATTATATAATGAAACAGGGTCAATTCATCAAGAAGATATAACAATTGTAAATATTTATGCACACAACTTTAGAGCACCTAAATATATAAAGCAAATACTAACAACTAAAAAGAAAAATAAACAGCAATAAAATAATAATTGGGACTTTAATACTCTACTCTCAACAATGGATAGATCATTCAGATAGACTCTCAATAATTGATAAATTATCATTATAAAGAGGTTCAATAAGGAAACAGAAATTTAAATAACACTCTAGACCAAATGGAACAAATAGACATATCCAGAACATTCTACCCAACAACAGTAGAATACACATTTTTCTCAAGCTCACTTGGGACTAAAAAAAAATTTTAGGATAGATCATATGGTAGGCCACAAAACAAGTCTCAGTAAATTGAAGAAGAGAGAAATTATATCAAGTATCTTTTACAACTACGATGGCATGAAAGTAGAAATCAGTAATGGAAGGGAAGCTGAAAATTCTCAAATACATGAAAAATAACCAAGATGCTCCTGACCAATCAATGGACCAAAGAATAAAAAAAAAGAAAGAAAGAAAGAAAGAAAGAAAGAAAGAAAGAAAGAAAGAAAGAAAGAAAGAAAGAAAGATAGAAAGAAAGAAAAAGAAAAATATATCTTGAGACACAGAAAAATGGAAACAGAATGTAAGAAAATCAATGGGATTCAGCAAAAGCAGTTCCAACAGGGAAGTTTACAGCAATAAACTTTCAAGGAAAAAGAAAGCTCTCAAAGAAAGAATTAACTTTAACCTCAAGGAACTAGTAAAAGAAGAACAAACTAAGTCCAAAGTTAGAAGATGAAGGAAATACTAAATATTAGAACAAAAATAAATAAAATATAAAATAGGAAAACAATAGAAAAGACTAACAAAACTAAAAAATTAGTTCACTGAAAAGACAAACAAAATTGGCAAACCTTTAGCTAGGCCAAGGAAAAAAGAGAACCCAAATAAATAAGATCAAAAATGAAAGATGAGATAAAAAAGATCATGAGATTATTATGAACAATTATAAGCCAAAAACTGGACAACCTGGAAGAAATAGATCAATTCCTATAAACATACAACCTACCAAGGATGAATAATGAAGAAATAGAAAATCTGAACAGACCAATAACAAGTAGGGAGACTGAATCAGTAATCAAAAACCTCCCAAAAAAAGAAAAGCCTAGGACCAGATGCTTTCCCTGGTAAATTCTACCAAACATTTAAAAAAAACCATCCTTCTCAAACTCTTACAAAAAATCGAAATGAAAGGAATACTTTCAAACTCATTTTATGAGACCAGCATAATGTAGATACGAAAGCCAAATAAGGACACTAAAAGAAAACTACAGGCCAATATCCCTGATGAACACAGATGCAAAAATTTGTAACAAAATACTAGCAAACCAAATTCAACAAGACATATATAACATAATAAAGACCATATAAGAGAAGTCCACAGCTAAAATATTCAACAATGAAAGGTTGAATGCTTTTCCTTTAAAATCAGGAACAAGACAAGGGTGCCCACACTCACCAGTCCTACTCAACATTGTACTGGAAGTTCTAGCCAGAGCAATCAGGCAAGAAAAAGAAATAAAAGGCATCTAAGTTGAAAAAGGAAGACGTAAAATTCTCTGTTTAAAGATGACATGGTTTTGTATACAGAAAATTCTACAGACTTCACCAAAAAACTGTTTGAATAAAAGAATTCAGTAACGTTGAAGAATACAGAAATCAACATACAAAAAAAATCAGTTGTGCTTCTATATACTAACAATGAATTATTTGAAAAAGAAATAAAGAAATAATCCCATTTATAATAGCTTCAAAAAGAATAAAATAGGAAAAAATTTAACCAAGGAGGTGAACGATCGATACACTGAAACCTGTTAAGACACTGATGACACAAATAAATGGAAAGATGTATCATGTTTAAGGATTAGAAGATTTAA